TATGTCTTTTGATAGCCGGGCACCATCACCTTTCTTCACCACATTTGCTTATCACATTTGTCTTCAGCGATGGTATTGGGAAGGTGAGCATCACAGAGTGTCGTGTTAGTAGAACAAAGTGTTCTTGGAGTTGAGGGAGTACTTGAATGGAGGCCCAATGTCCATCTGCTGCCGTAATTCTATCTAAATAAATGTGTACATAGATCTATTTCCCTCTCATTATATATAAATGTGTTTACATGTATACATGCCTATATTTAGACTCTAGAAATTTCCTTTGCCTCCCAGTTCTTTCCTCTTTTTTCTTTTACTTTCCTCCTGTCCCACTATCTTGTTAGGCCTTCACTCGGGTTCTGGTCATTTCTTTCAGCTACACTGCCCTTGATCAAGCCCCCCCAAGCATCCTATGTCCTCCTCGCCATCAACTTTAGATCACTAGTCTTCCCTTGTTCCTGGTTTTTTTGGTCACTTCTTTCCTTTTCCCTCATCTCTCCCTCTCCTGTGACCCCAAGAACTGTCGGTCCCGTTATTCTCTCCTCCGGATTGTTCATCCCATCTATCTTGTCCAGATGGACATGCACAGATAAAAATGCACACAAACATAAAGCAGAGCAAAACATAACTAAATACACACAAACATAAAGCAGAGCAAAACATAACTAAGAAGACAAAAAATAAGTCAACAGGTTCATGTGTTAGTCTGGGTACTTTAGAGAAAGAAATCCACAGAAATTCATGTATAAGAGAAAGTCTTATATAAAGGTTAAGTGCACATCAAGAAAACATCCCGTATCAGTGCTGCCCAAGCCCACAAGTCCAACATTAACCCATATGTCCAACACCACCCACAAACTCCTCCTCCATCTCACAAAACACACGCAATGATGCCGACTGCAGAGGAAAGCTGAATCAATGAGTAAGCATCTCAGCGCTGGCAGAGGTCTCCACGCAGCTGTTCCAGCACCCAGGGCTGCATCGAGGTAGGTCCATGTGGCTTCTCCTTGGGATGTCTTGCAGGAAGTCAGCCTTGCCAGCTGAAGCAGGGAACTGCTAAGGCAGCTGCACCCTGGTATGACCACCAGAAAGCAAGAGACATGAGAACTAGAAAGGCGAGGCTCACTGAGCCATTTATCCCTCCGCCCTTCAATTAGCCCCACATGTGTTTATAGGTCAGGTTGGCACCATAAACTAACTGCCTCAACACCTAATACAATAAAACAAAAAAAATAAAAAATAAAAAACCAGCAGCAAATAGAGAAAAGCCCTCAAACAGTTCCAGGTGTGTCCACTGACCTTTGTGACTGTTTTCCAGTCCAGTCTGCTGGGTTGCCATGCCCTGGCCCCAAAGTGCACCTTTGGCATTCCTCGGGGACTTTGTTGCTTTGTTGCTGTACGCCCCTAGTGTTCCCCTGGCATGGTGGGGTCAGATCGGGCCTATCCCCCAGCCCCCGCCACGAGTGCTGTCCCACTCAGCACTATGTGTCCGTGAGGGACGTCGTCGTGTCTCGTGGTGGGGCCGGCCCTGTGATCCTCTCTGGGCCTTGGCCGCTCTCAGCTGGAATATGGTCCTCGGGGCTTGGTGGACCAGGGTGTGTTCCACTCTCTCTCCTTCCCTCTTCATTTACTGCACATGATCAGACACGCCCCTCTTCCTCGGCTGTAGCTTCAGCGCTGTCCTCTGAAGCGCATTCCTCTAGGGTGCAGGGTGAGGGTGCCCACGTAGTTGGCATTGGGGCCGGCCCCAGAGGCCTCTCTAGTGGTTGCCTGCTTCATGCCTGTATGTTGGAGTCATGTCTAGCACACCGGTTGGAGTCTGGTCCCTCTCCGACTCTCCTGGGGAGATATCAACAACACCCTCCTCTTGGGTGGGTTAGTGCTTGGTTCCCCTGCTACCCTCTGTTTTATGACTTTCAGGCCTCTCTGAGCTGTATTCCTCGGGTGAAGCAGAGACATTTGCCATGAGGCTAGCTATTAAATCAGACTTAATTTCTTCGGTTTTCCCCAAAACCTTCTCAACTACCTCATATTCATTTTGGATCACTTTTGCCTACTTCTGTAAAGTGGGGTAGTTTATATCGTGCTTTCTATTACACTGATGTTCCTCTTTCCTCTCCTGACTGTTTGGACCGGCCCCGGCCATGCGGCCACTTCCCCCAGCTCTCCCAAAAGATAGCCTGCTGCACTGTGTGGCCCCTTCCCCTGCCTCTCAAGGCCAGAGCTGGACTGTGCAGTCCCTGCCTCCAGCGTTCCAAGGAGCTCATCTCTCCGGGCTGGGTCTGTACAGCCCCTTCCCTCAGCGTTCCAGGACAATTGACTCACAGACCACGTCCTGACTCAGCCCTGGCAACTGCACAAGTCCTCCCTCCCTCTTCTCAGCACATACGTCCTTGGCTCAAACCCTATATATATATATATGTCCCACCGCCTCACTGCCAGGCACAACCTCCCTGACCTAACTCGTGGCGTTGCGGAACTCGTCCGGGAGTTTTCTCTCACCTTGATAAAGCCTCTCTATACTTCTCATGCCTGACTGACCCGTGTCTCCTTCTGCACCTCCGTCACCAGCCTTTCATCTTGGTACCGAAACCTGGGACTGGTCGGAGGGGCTTTTGTGTCGCCCCGGCCTCCCATTGGCCGGTGCACAGCCCCTCCTCCGCTTCCATGGACCTCTGAAGCCTGCTTTCGCAAATGCTTTCCTGGTCAGTATTCTCATACAAGTTTGTTCTGTTTTGTTTGTCTTGTTTGCCTTTCTGAATACTGAGGACCAGAAAACTCATACGGGAACCTAGGGTCCATGGACAGCTGCTA